TTTCCATTTATAGCTTTCCCTAATCTAGATTAACCTAACCCATCTTGTAGCTTATCCTAGACTCTCACTAAACAAGTATAAGATTATTCAAATCCCATAGTCGTGCTGTCATCAAAGACAAAGGGTAACGATGGACTTCCCACTCAATTAATGGCTAGGCAAGCATGCAAGAGTTTTTACATAGGATAAAACTCTTCTCTATATTTGTATCTTTTCATATTAATTTATACTTTTTTTGTAAATGTAAATTCAGATTTACATTGATAATCTAAATCGTTTATTCTTATAATAAATGTTATTCATATAAAAAAATCAATTTCATCAAATATTTATAAATACAAGAATATATCATATTTTATTTTATAAAATAAATAATAAAATTGAACCATTCATTTTGTAAAACAAAACGTGATTTGTTTCTACATTTATAATTATCATAAATCTAATTTTGTATAGATAACTTTTACTGTAAAATTACAAAATATACAATTTAAATCATAATAAATTCAAATTAAAATTTACAATATATATATATATATAATTAAATATAAAGAGATAAAATATCAAGGAGAGTTTAATCTTTTACATACGATGTCAGTAATTACCTGACCAACCTATTTGGCACTAAACTCAACAAGTCAAACTACTTTAGGAGGACCAAGTAAATGATTCTTGTTTGGCAGGAGATTCTATTTACGCCTAAAAAATCATTAAGTTCTTATTTGGTATTATTTAAAAAAAATAAAAAGTTAAAAAATTACTAAAAAAAGTAAAAAAAATTATACTATTTACAATGTTTGGGCGAGAATCCGGGGCTGAATACTCATGGGGCAAAAAGATAATTTTGTCCTTACTTTTGTCCCTTCCTTTGAGAATACAATTATTAAAGAGATACTAGGGTTTACAAAGGGTCTCACCTCAACATCTCCTCTCCTTCTCCAAACACACGCATAAATACTCCTCCGTCAAGCCGTCGACAATTCCTTATCCTCACACTGTCGATTGCTGGAGCTTCGCCACAACCTCCTCCTTACAGCATCACCAAAACTGTCCTTCTCCAAATAGATGCTAAACAACCACGAATTTAAGCCGCCGACAGTCCCTTACCCTCATACCGCCGACTGCCGGAGCTCCGCCACAACCTCCCCTTACAGCATCACAAAAAGCGTCCCAATATGCAAGTGCGTCACACCAGTACCGGATGGGAATGACCAGCTGGTGTCTAGATCTGCACCACCGCTGACCAGATCTTCACCATTTCGGCCCGTATCTCCCAAAGTAGAAAGTAACATCACTTGCAGACCAATATTTTTGCCCATATCAAAAATCCGTACATAACCCCCTTTTGCACAAATTGTTTAGCCTATTCTGTGCCATGTTCGACTTTTTAATCCACAGTACAAGACAGTGGTATGAATTTGTTTACCTTTTTTTTTTGCTTCCATACTTTGGATGTTCACATAGGCATATGAATTTGTGTTTGCATTTTTATGGGTTTTCCAAATTTTTGGCGATTTATGTCTCTCGTCTTTTCCCTTGGTTTGTTGGTTTGTTTGATGAATTCTATTTTTATTCATAAATGTAATGTATCTTATATCTAAGTATGTTTTAGACTTTTACATGACTTTGAAGAAATCAACAACCAAAAATAATATTGTAATTATCAACAACCAAATATTCGTAAACACGTCAGGTTTTTAACATTGTAATTGTACTTTTAAATTTCTGAGATAATAAAAATAATTAAAAAAAAAACTTCTAAAAGGTTTGCATTTGTATCTTCTAATTTTGAAAATTTTGTTTCACTGTCATTAGTAATATTATTGAAATAATTTATAAACTTATAATATTATTGTTCATCACCACAAATTAACATTGAAAATATGAAGGAAGTATGTGTATATTTCACGTGACAGCTACGATAATGTATTTGTAGCGTGAAGTCTCATCTTCTTAAGAAGAATATGAAAAAGATGACCAAAAAAAAAAAGGCAAAAAAGTATGAGATGTTGAAAACATTATAGCATAATGCAACCCCAAAAACTGCACATTTGTTGATCAACATTAGCACATCACTCGTTTTTGTTTAATTTGTTGCATTTTAATTTTTTTTTTTTGACTTTTTAATTTTTTTTTTTTGTTTGCTATTTTTTTTTTTTCATATTGCAGACTAGTAATTGTACTATTAGGCTGCCAACATTATGACATTATTGAATTCAGCACAATAATTTTTTAAAAAAAATTTGCACGGCTCATGGTTGAAAATAAATAAATAAAAACAAAAGAAAAAAAACAAAACCAGTGGTGCTCAGTGCACTGTCTCAAGTTTGACAACTTCACTGACATGTACGGAAAACATGTTTTCCTCGGAAGGTATGACCGTAATTTTGGTATTTTATATAATATTTTAATACATATTTTTTTATAAAAATTTAAAAAAATATTCTAAATAATCATCTTTTTTTCTTTTATTTTTTAGTCAAAAAAGTCAAAAAGTCCCAAACAACCCCTAAGTACACCTAATTTCAAAATACACCTTGTTTAATTATTTAAAATTTTATTTTACTCTCATTACAGCCTATTATTTTTCCCAAATTACCCTCAAGATAAATCCAAATAATAAACAATAAACAAACTATAAAAACTAAATTATTTCAAAAAAATTTCAATACAGAAAATAATTCTTAAATACAGAAAAAAAAAAATTTAAACTTTTACATAAACATTATAAAACTTTTCAATATAAAAAAAAATTACATTATAAATTATCCACAAGAATGCACGTGAAAAAATAAAAACCAAACTATAAGCTCATAAGAATCAGACACTAACAAGAAAGAATAGTTCTCAAATAATGTACTATTTAAATGACAAAATAAGAACAATTTCAATAATATGTTATTGTTAATCTAACTATTGCGCACTTTAATTTTTGTAAAAAAAAACGATATAAAAAATAATTGATGGTGCTCTACAAAAATTGTGAAATCCGTTTATATGAATGCTTACCTCATTTTTTATGAGTTACTTCAAAAAACTATTTTAATTATTACTCTCATCTACTATTTGATTTTGTTCAAATTTTTTTTTTAGGGTTTAGAGTTTTAAAAGAATAAAAAACAATGATGTTAATGTTTTAATAGGAACAACTGATTAAGGTGTACCATGAGAAGAAAAAAAAATTATTTTAGGTTTTAATATACATTATTCTTATTAATAAATTTATATTATGATATAATAAAAATTAAAATTTATAAATTTAAATTAAACATTTTGGGTTCAAATAGAATTCCCTTGTTTGGCACCAACTGTGACATATACGCTTGTTCATTCGTGCTATGGGCCAATGCTTTTATAACCTTTCATGGGCCGAACTTGATCGATCTTATCTGTTCACGAAGGAAATTACGTGGGTAGGGAGATGCAACTGGTGACACTAGTGTAATTAAAAAATATTTTCTATATTTTTGTAATATTTTATATTAAATTTTTTATTTATAATTTTTTTCTTGTGTCATTATTTAGAAAGTCTTATTTTTAAGTGTTATATACTATTTAACTTATCTTCTTTTTTAATATTTCATTACATCATGTCTACTATTTCATTAGATCCTATCTAATGGAATATGACAAAATCATCATTCCAAACTTTTTAGGTGTATTTCTATTTTAAAACTAATACATAATAAATAATAATATTAATCCCTTATTTCAAGGAAAGAAATTCTCTTTTATTTTATGAAAAAAAATCGCTCTCTCATTTTAGAGAGAAAATCCATCTTTTGTTCTAAGGAAAAAATCTCTCACATTCCTAAAACTTTAAATTGTCTACCTTACTCCGACGTGAAGAAGCATTGTTGTGAATATTTACATCGATCGAAATATAGACACTATAAATATCCACATTGCTGATGGTTGCTTAAATTTGTATCCACAACCATTGGCTTAAAGTGGATTGCGATAAATAAATGTTGTTTTTAATGTTGAAGTTCATATCAACAAATGCAAAATATTCAAATCTGATATATATATATATATATATATCCTATTGTGTATAATATGTACTATCAACATAGAACAAATGGTACAATAGCTTCAAAAAAAAAAATTATAAATCAGGAAAAAAAATCTTATAAGATGCAAGTCTAACACCAAGTTTGGCAACTTTAAAATAATCAATCTTTTTATCTTTTTTTTTATCACATCACCTCTCTACTTTTCTGCACATCTTTTCGTAAAAAGACAAAAAGTACACTTATTTAAGTCATCCCAAAATATATGAGACTTGATGGAATACAAGAAACTTTGTGAATTTATTAGACTATAAGTCCATTAAAAAGGATTTATATAAATCTCTCTTTTTTGTTTTATTTATTTATTTATTTACTAATTGTAATATGCATACCAAATAAGAAAAAAGAAAATTGCTTTAGAGCTCTAAAACAGTGGCTCTAAATTAGCATTAAATTGTCCTTTTTCTACTCTTATTTTGTCTTTTTCTGTTTTTTTTTTTTTTATAAAGTGGTTGCCAGCAGCTCAGTAGAGCTGCTGTTAGAGCAGCTCTACTAGAGCTCTCAATTAGAGCCCTAAGAAAAAATTACACACCAGTAGAATCTTTTTAAAATAATTATTTTTTATGAAAAAATTTATAACTTTAATAAAAATTTTATTAATCTAAAATTATTTTTCTCCATACCAAAAATATAAATGATGTTATTAATTATTAAAATTTATAAAATTTTTAATAATCTGAAATTATTTTTATAAACATTTGCTATTCTCCCTACCAAAAATATAAATGATGTTATTGTCAATAATACTTTTTAAAGATGTATTCAACTCTTTTTAACAGAAGACAATCCATACCTTATCTATTCGACTCTTTTTATTGGAAAACATTTATTTGTTAACAGAAGACAATCCATACCTTATCTATTCGACTCTTTTTATTGGAAAACATTTATTTGTTTTATTTATTTAATTATTTCTTTTATCACTTTCGTTCTAGTTCCATCCACAGTGGACCCACAAAACTCGCACTTTTGCCCTTTCCCTTCTTCACAGACCTTTTTGCGATCTTCAGCGACGTCCCTCCGTTTTCTTTGCCGAATCTGCTCTTTCATCTCTCTTTCGATCCGACAATCCGCATAGATTTTAGCATCGTTTGTGTAAGATTAACACGTCCTTTCTCTATTTTCTTCATCAATTTCTCGAGAAAGTACTGTTTCACATACTGGGTCACTTCTCTATTCTTCAGAAGGAGGTTGGTTTTTTGGGTTTTCTGTATTCTGGGTTTCTGCAAGTGGGTGCTGGTCTTTCCTCATCAATTTCAGCTAGAGATCAGTTTATCCCCAACTGGGTTGGCTTTGAAGTATTGAGAAATCGCTTAATTTCAAGGCAAAGGATCGATCTAGGCGTCTGGGTTTGTGAAATCTAGGTTTCTCCAAGTGGGTTTTGGTTTTGGTGGTCTGATTTCCTGAGGAATCTCTTTATTTTTCCAGAAAAATCCGATTTTGACAGCTGGGTGGTATGTTTCATGGGGTTTTCAGGTGAGTTTTATGAAATAATCAGTTATTGTAGTTGGAATTTGCGTTGTTGAATGCAGAGATATAAATAGAAAGAAAGAGAAAGAAAAGATGAAGAGAGGGAAAGATGATGAGAAAATTATGGGACCCATGTTCCCAAGGCTTCATGTTAATGATACAGAGAAGGGAGGGCCAAGAGCTCCCCCAAGGAACAAGATGGCCCTTTATGAACAGCTCAGCATCCCTTCCCAGAGATTCAATCATGGGGTGTTGCCTGTGAACCCCAATAACTCTGCCAGTGTGGTTCCCCCAGCATCCTCAAGCCAGGTGTGTTGAAATTTTTTTATGGGTTTGTTGTTTTAAATTCATGCTTTCTTTGATTTAGGCATCTAATTTTAGTGATGGTTCTGTGTTGTTCTGTTTGAATTAATTGTCGTCTTTGGTGCCTAATTTGATGTTTATTTATAGAACTGTTTGAAGATAAGAAAACATGATTTATGTGTTTCATTTCATATTTTTGTTTCTAATAGGCTTGAGTAACTATTGTTGTCTTCCAAGGAAAATGAAGGTCTATCATTTCTTTTGGTTAAGTTGAGGTGTTTTAATGAGCTGATTGAGCATTCAGGAGATATTGTTTTTCATATGGATGATTGATTGCCTTGTCGAGGGCCTATGCACCCTGGGGATTAGTTGGGCTTTGATCCGGACACTCAATGCGAATAAAAAATGTGTATATATATACATGGATGCTTGGTTGTTTGGTGGGGGGATAAGTGTTGTGTTAACATTGAAATTTGGTATGACAATTTATTGTTTGTTGCATAATTCAACAAATAAATTCCTCATAACTCCCAAAACTGGAATGAAAAAGCTCCCAACCCCCACTCAAAAGGCAAAAAAGAAAGAGGTTGCTAATGCACAATGAAGAACCCATTACCCGCGTAACCCTATGTCTGTGAGGGCACCACTTGGGCTGGTGTTGTCATGTTTTTTGGAGTCTTGAAACCTCAATTTCTCCAAACTGAAGTCTCTTAGTGCCAACCTATAACTCATGTTATGCCCTTAATTGGCTACTTCTCCTGTAGACTGACTGTGATTGAACATGTTCCTTCTTCTTTTTTATTTCCATTATGGACACACTCCCTATTCAAGTCTCAGATGTCACCCCTCTTATGGGATTTTTATTTTTATTGTTTGAAGTTTCCACTCTTCATCTTCTTGGACTTTTGTCCTTATTATAATCACATTTGAGGATTAAGCTTAGCCTGTTTGTATCTATACTCCTGTAGAATCTGCTCCTATGTCCCTGATACTTTAAATAACTTGTGGTTGCAGGGAAGTGGTCGTGAAAGGGGTATGTTTTTTCCGCTTCCCGTACCTCGTTCAACACATCCTGCTGAGAAGTCATATGCTGGCTATTCTGATTTCAACACCCCGTTGGCACAACTTGAGCAGAAAAAGAAGCTAGATGAAGAGGAATTTATGGTTCCTATCTTAGTTCCGTCAGAAATAGGTCAAGATCATAGCAAAAATTCTAATGGCATGGATAGGGGAAAAATCTCTTCCTCCAGACCAGCATATGTGAGTCATTCAATGAATATTAAAAATACCAGTGATAAAGAGCCAAAACAAACTAGCATTATAAGTTCCAATTTGAGACAAGGCAGAAGCCAGGATGAGAAGAACCCAAAAGAAATGACTGAAGGTCCACGGAAACAAACTGATGCACCTGCAGGTCAGGAACATAGAGACCGCCTTGCAAACAATTTTGATAGAATACCAAGCACTGGTACTAGTTTAAATCACGAATCCAGAGCCAGGGCACAGCTACACAACAGTATGTGTGGGATTGATGTCTCAAATGAGCCTGTGAGAGGCGTAGAAAATGGATTTTCATCCATACTTAGAAGAGATCCTTGTCCAGAAGAGCTGAGAAGTCCTAATACTAATGGCAGTGGATATCATGAAGACAAGACAAGTTGGTCAGTACAGGCAGGAAATGGGGAGAGAGGTGACGATGCCTCGGAGACTTCCATGGTGGATTCTATATCAGGCATGGATATATCCCCTGACGATGTTGTAGGAATAATAGGTCAGAAACATTTTTGGAAAGCGAGAAAAGCAATAGTCAAGTAAGTTTCTTTTCTGATTAATAGTTTCTCAAATATTTTACATTTTGGCACATTACATTTGAGCTTCCATCATAATTGTTCATTTTACTTAGTAGGAAGTTTAATATCATGGCAACTAATTCATAAGCAACAGGGTTGAATATTGGAAAAGAAAGACTAGTGGAAATAAATATGATATGGAATAAACTGATGGCTAAACCAGTGTATGAAAAATAGTCAAAAGGTTCTGCAGTAAGTTAATGGAAAATTTTGATACAATTAGATAGTTGCATTAAAGCGGGGGGTTCCTTTTGACATTTGCTGGCAATACTTTTTTTGTAAAGTGATTTTTTTTTTTTTTTAATTAAAGTTTTAGTGAAGAGAACATTGACTATGGCTTATTGTGATTGCCTGTCTTGTGAAAGGACTGGTCAGATTTAAAATGCACTCAAATATAATTTATTTTCTACACTTACTATCCATTGGCTTTGAAATCCATATTTTGATGATTATTTGTTGGTTAGTGTTGTGCACCATAAATCATATAGTGTTGTTATGCATAGTTTTGTTTCAATTGTTATGCAATTATTGACTTAGCTTTGGCCTCCCATTACACATTCGTCCATTTATTTATTTTTTTGGGCAGATGAATTGGTGTTTATGTGTTTGCATAGAATCTAGTGCATTTCCTTTCTTAGTTGAATGTTAGCCTTTCTTGTGGGCTTATTTGTTTGACCTCCTCGTTTGCCCTCCTCGTTTGCGTAGGACTTTCTTGCTTCCATTGTATGCCTTTTGGTTGAATACACTTTTTTATGTGTTCAAATTTTATTTTTATAATTAGAAATATTAATAAAAACGCTCCAAAAGGGGAAACAACCTATATAAGTAGACAAAGAACTATACGTCACCTGAAGTACCAAAATTTTCTATTAAGTCAAAACCATTCTGTAGTCTTGTTTATCATACCCAAGTACCTGTGTGTATACATATTTATGTATGCTTCCTAAACAATTAATCAAGTGATATTTATGATTTGAAGTCAGCATGAGTTAAAAGTATTTTTTGTGTTCAAGTGGAGATTGATCCACCTGGAAGAGAAGAGGTAGATAGGAACAAGATTTTTGGAGAACACTTCTTGTCCATCAAATTCTATTAAATTTGTTTAGCGTTGCTAATGTTTTCCTCAAGTGATGTTCTGCAGCTCAATTCATCTCTGTTAGTTGGTTGTTGAATACATAGAAAGGAGGAACTGCTTTAGGGCTGTTTTTAAAAGTCTTGTCCTAGCTGATTCAGTCTCATTCCCTATATGATCCCTTCGTACTAATCCCCCATCCAGAGAATTGGAAGAAGATTGTAAAGGATATTAGGAACTTTGGGAAAGTATTAATATATTTTTTGGAGAAGAGTAGTGAATAGTGATATTTGTACTGGGACATGATGTAGTCATCTAATGTAGAATTTAAAAGCTGCAACCATTTTGTATGTTTCAGATTATTTCTAACAATTCAAATATCGAGTATTAATACTTGTGGTTTGGAAATATTTTGTCCAATTTGAGCCAAAAAGTTGGAAATAAGGCCTCAAGGGAGGGAAGATGTCAGGTGTGGAGTCTGGCTGTTCCCTTGAAGTTGGCTTTTTTCGTGGTGGATCATCTTTTATCCATTTTGAACTGATGTGTATTGTGCAAGGTGAGTAGCTAGATGGTGGATGATTCTCAATTCATTGTCCATTTGCGCTTGTCCTTCGGAATTCCTTTTTGTTAGTTTTCATTCTGGTATTTCTTGGGTTTCAACCCTGCACATTTGGGAAAGTACACCTTTTCTAGCAGTTGTCGGATTGGAGTAAGAAGAGGAACAAGTAAGTAATGGATGATATTTGGAGTTTTGGGACATTTGGTCCTTTTTTTTTTTATAATACCCAACAATTGAAACTAGTGAATGTTATGGTGGTGAATAAGATTATTTTCATGTAGTATTTTGGTTTATTCGAATATTTCCTGTAGTGGGTGCCCAAAATACTCGATCTTTGTGTCATCCAAAATTTTCTGTGTCTATTCTTTTACTATTTTTTTTTTACCATCAAGTAGATCATGATTTTGTGTTGTGTACATTTTTGTTTCTTTTTCACCTAATGTGTATAAAAGAGTGCCGTATCTTTGTCTATGCCATTAATTTGTGTTTGGGATTTGGTCTCTCATGTGATTGTATGATCTGTATGTTTTCAGAGTTTTCAAGTTCTTCCATGTAGAGTTTAATTAAATGTGGACTTGATATTAATCTGGTGCTTGACTGTGAATCAATGGCTACTTAAAACTTGGTTTATACCTACTGATCGTTACAAATTTATAAAAGCCAATCCTAGTGAAATTGTTTTTGTGTTTATGATCTGATCCCTCTTACCCTTTTCAGTCAACAAAGAGTGTTTGCTGTTCAAGTATTTGAATTGCATAGATTGATAAAGGTATGGAAATCTTCGATGTTAACTATCTTCCCAGTTAACTGAAATGTGATTCACAATAATTTTCATTTACTTATGAAAGTGGATTTGAGTATAGTTCTTGATATTCATACAGGTCCAGAGATCGATTGCTGGATCGCCACATCTTTTGCTTGAAGATGGTGCTTATTTGGGTGAACCATTGAAGGCCTCTTCCGCAAAAAAACTTCCATTAGAGTATTTCGTTAAACCATCTCCGCAAATTGCAAAGCATAAAGATGATTCTGAGAACCCAAGTCGTAACATGGAATGCTCTGCCGAAAATGCCGTCGGAAAGACATCTCTTTCTTCCGCACAACACGTGAGTCAACCTTCGATTTGCAAACAATTTTCGGGAAACCCACTATCGACAACTGTAACTGCAGAATCCAAATTGAGTCCTTGTTTCCATCAACCGCCCACCGGGCACCAATGGTTGATTCCTGTAATGTCTCCATCCGAAGGGCTTATATACAAGCCATATCCTGGACATGGATTCATGGGCCCGGTTTTTGGATCTTGTGGACCTCCAGGATCAAATCCGATGATGGGTAATTTCGTAAATCCTGCATATAGCGTTCCATCTCCTCACCACCATTATCAAGGGATCGGGGTTCCTCCCACTTCTCCGGTCGGCCACAGCTATTTCCCTCCGTATGGCATGCCGGTCATCAATCCAGTTTTCTCGGGCTTGGCCAGTCAACCTGGTCAGTCCGGTCAGTTATCAGGCTCGTGTAATGTGCTGACAACCCAGAAGAACGGAGGAGTGATTCCAAATGTCGTGAGGCTGCGTGCATCTAAAGAAAGCGAGTTGCAAGGCAGTACGGCAAGTAGTCCTGGGGAGAGAGCACAGGGATTTGGTGTAGGTCCCACCACCAATGAAAGAAACGCGCTTCCTCTTTTCCCGACCTCTCCTTCCACTCACACTCTAGATGAAGTCCCTCAGCTGCATGATGTTGAGCAGCCGGCGACAAGAGTGATCAAAGTCGTGCCTCACAACGCTAGATCTGCAACTGAATCAGTGGCTCGGATTTTCCAGTCTATACAAGAAGAAAGGAAACAGTACGACTCGGCTTAGCTGAAACAGTGAGGGATCACCCAAATTGGTGTGGTGGTTGGTGGGTTGATTTCTTTGTAGTTTTTGATGTTTGATGTTTTTGCGAACTGTTTTGTGTTTAAAATTATAGGTGATACATATATGTATATATGTGTCTGAAGATTATGAGATAAATCAGGTAGTGTTATAATGATAGTTTCTTTTCAGTTACTGTTGTATTAATTTGTAGGGGCGTAGAGCCTTCTTTGTATGCCAGATTGATAGTTGCCTCAAGGCAATGGTTCCTTTTCAATGTAGGGCAGAGGTTGGTGTTTTAGCAGTTGTTTACTCTCTCTCTCTCTCTCTCTCTCTCTCTCTCTCTCTTACACACACACACACACACACACACACACACACACAAAATTTAAAAAAAAAAGAAAGAGTAATGGTAGAGATTAACACATTTATATTCACAAATTCACCCACAATGATTTGGCATAGAAGTTGGGCATACCATCAGTGTGTAACAAATTAGAAGTTGACCTATATTTTACCACATTATTGTGGGTAGAATTGTAAATATTTTTTTAGAATCTCAAATATTTTTCCACTAAAAATTGAGATCCGACTATATTTGTAAATGACACTGTTCTGCTCCATTACTGCATTTTGATTGTTTTGCAGTTTTGCAGTTTTGCTTCACTTTGTATTGGCAGTTAAAACAAGTACTGGGAGAAATTATCTAGCAAGTCTGGTTTATATCCTACTACGTGGTGTGAGCACACGGGAGCCTTTCAATGCCTCCCATTAAAATTGTTGGATACCTATTCCTTTTAACATTTGAATTTTTCTGTTTTCCATTGAACCCTCCAATTAATCCAATCCCTGCCCCCATCTACCTCTGCCGCTGCTTTCCCCCTCCTCCCCTCCCCATCCTCCCAGCCCTTTGCCTTCCCTCCTGTTGCACGTCGCCCCCTCTCCTTCTCTTCCTCTCAAATCCTAACCCTTCCCTCCCTATCCCCAAAACCATCCTATACCTCCTCCTTCCAGTGCGAACCACCTCACTGTGACTTCTTTTGAAACCTAGAGATCTCTCCTTATTCTTCTGCTTTTTCTACCCTAGATCTATCTCCCTCTCGCACACACGACAGAGGGCTGCAGGGGTGTGGGATCATGGGGGCAGTGGTTGAGTTGAGGGGGTAGGTGGCTGCGAGAGTTGTGGGGTCACGAGGGGAGTTGGGGAGGTGCATGGAAGGGCGCCGAGGGGCAAGAGTTGTGGGGGTGGCAGCCAGGGGTGGGGAGGAACTGGGTGGTGGTGGTGGGAACTGGGGAGGAGGTTGGTGTGGCTGTTGGAGTTCGTGCCAATGGAGGTCGGAAGAAGAGAAGATGGTGAAATGGATTTTAGGTTGTCCCTTTGGATAATTTGACGCAATGGTAAAATGATATTAATAAATATATGAATTATGAGAAGTAGAGTGTCCAACAATTTTATGGGTGCATAACGAATCATAAAAACAGAAGGAAAAAAAAAAAAAACCAATCCTGTTGCCAACATCAGGAGTGTCCTTAAGGGCACTTGTAACATTTCCCAGGCCCTCCATAGTAAAACTCAGGATCATCAACATAATCTCCCAGATAAAAAACATCATAGCAATCATATTCGTCAGCATAAGTCTCGACCCATGGCGGAAACATCAAGTCCAGAGAATTCTGTTGAACGCGTATCCTCTTCACACAACCAGAGTTACCGCTGAAGTAGTCGGGGAAGTGTCCACTGCCCATGTTTGTTTTAGTGTGGGGATGAGTTCTTCCTAGCTTGGAGCTGTAAACTTCACCTCCCCATTGAACTGTTTGGGCATGGTGGTTTAACAAAGTGAAGAGAGAAGGTGGCCAGTAGCCTATGTTGATTGTCTCTCCATATTGCACCCACCAGTTGCTGGTGTTGGGATCCTGTTTGGCAAAAGAGAAATGTTAGGGATCATGAAAAAATTTTCATGAAAATGATCATGAAAAATTTGTGATCCTTAGATTACCTTGATTAATGTGTAGTGCTTTATTCTAAGTGTAATCCAAAGGTCACAAATATTTCATGATTATTTTCATGAAAGACTTTTCATGATACCTAGCATTGCTGTTGTCAAAATTGGAAAATGCATACACAACAATAAAGAACATGAGAAATGGACATTTTCACCTTTCTTTTATTAAAGGGTTCATTAGATATTTGTTCTTCAAAATATGCGATTTGTTTTGTTTTGGTTGTCGGCATTTTAATTGTGCGAATTTTATTTTCAAACTATTAAAATGTGTGTTAAAGTAGTCCTGATGCCGTGTCAATATGCATTGTCACAATTTTTGTTTTGTTTTGTTTTGTTTTGTTTTGGTTGTCGACATTTTAATTGTGCCAATTTTATTTGAAAAATGCTTAGGAGCACTAATTAGTGCTCCCACTAATTAGGTGGCAGTGGGTCCCGCCATTAATGATGTGATGTTTTGGTCTTGGAGTTGTATTTTTTTTTACTTTTTTAATGCATTAGTGCTATTAGTGATGATATTTTTAGTGGGATGAATCATTGTTGATTTTATTTTCAAACTATTAAAATGTGTGTTAAAGTAGTCCTGCTGCCGTGTCAATATGCATTGGCACAATTGAGGGCATTTTTGTAATAAAAAATTATACTTAATCAATTTTATTTTTTTTACACTTCTAGTCCTTAAAGTGTGCACTTCGTGTTATTTTGATCATAAATATTTGAAAAATACTATTCCACCATAATTTTTATATAAAAATTTACACAAGAATGATGTGACAACATTATTTATGTAATTAAAAGTATCTCAATGTACTCTTTATTCCAAAGTGATTGGCTCAAAAACCAATCAAGCCATTATGTTTAAGTTCTTTGTATAAATTTTCTATTTGTATATAACCTCTCTAAATATTTTAATTGTGTCAATTTGTAAAGGGTTAATTTTTGTTTTTCACGTGTAATTTTTTATTCCAAAATACCCATGATTCTAACATGAATACTAACATCTATTTGATACTTTAGGGATAAAATTAAGACAATTGAAATGTTATAAATCAAAATGACACAAAGTATATATTTTGAAGGAGTAAAAGAGTAATTAGTCCTATATTAAATACTATTCCATATATTGATCATCTAATCACGCCCAACCCTGAGATTTTCGGGGTCCAAAGCCAATAATCAACTAACAAATTTTTGGGGACCCTTCATATAATTTTTTTTCATTGAATAAAAAAAATGAAAAAAAAGACAAAACAAATTGTATCAAAATCACAAAAAATACTTAGTATTACATTACAACAATTAATAAGTGTCGCTTGATCCTCGCTCTTCTTGCATTTTTAAAAACGAATAAATCAATCATACTTGCATAATCTAGTTTTTTTGCAAAATCATTTTCAATAGATAACAATGCTAATTATTTTAAATAGGCCTTTCAATTTTTTAATGGGTCAATTTATTTTAAGTTAGTTTGGGTCTTCCTTAATTTTTTTTTTGGATTTAAAATATACCTAATATTTTACAATAAACTATAATAGAAGGGATCCCTTTTTTTGGGTCTATTTTCAATGGATAACAATGTTAATTTTTTTGAGTGGGTCTTTCAATTTTTTAATGGGTCAATTTATTTTAAATTAGTTTAGACCTTCTTTAATTTTTTTTCTTAAACTTAAAACATACCTAATATATTACTCTAAACCATAATTAAAGGGGCCCTTTTTTTAATCTATTTTGAGGGACCCTTGGCCATGGCCTTGTTGGCCTATGGCCGGCACTGCATCTAATACCATTATCAGGGTGTTTGGCTTGAGTTTTTTAGATTAAATATTTTTAAAATTGAGTTTTTTATTTTCATATTTTTTTTGTTTTTAGTGAATATTTTTAAAATTTTAAGCATTTTTTTTACTTTTTAGATGCACCTTATTTAGATGTACCTAAAAAGTAAAAAAATTGTAAAAAAATATTTTAAAAAATTAATAAATACATAAAAATACAAAAAATATATTGAATTCTCGTATTTTTTTTTATTTTTGGTATTTAGTGAAAATAAATTTCACAATTTTTTTACTTTTTAAGTATATTTATGTTAGATATGTCTAAAAAGTTTAAAAAAAATTACTTAAAATATTAAAAAAAATTCATTAAAAAAAAAACCACGAAAAACAAAAAAAATAGAATTTTCTAGAAAAGTATTTTTGGAAAAATGGAACCAAGCAAGGTTGTTTTTTCAAGTCCTATAATAATAAGATTAATTTAAGAAGCTTGATTGATTTGTAGTCTTACCTTAAAGATGTAAAGAGTGATTTCGAAAGGGAGGCCTCCAGTGACTGAGATTGGATAGATTGCAGCACCAAGAGCAATCTCACTGTTTGTTTGAACAAAACCAGGACAGGTTAGATCAAAACATCCTGTTCTCTGTGATGAATCTGCCTGTTTAATACACAGAGCAAACTAAAATTTAGTAAGAACTCACATCAAATATAGATGATATCAAAAAAAAAAAAAAAGTAGTTTAAAGTTGTAAAATTTAGTAAGAACTCACATCAAATATAGATGATCAAAAAAAAAAAAAAAAGTAGTTTAAAGTTGGTTTTTGTTTCATACTCATCTTCTATTTATTTTTTATTTTTTTCTTTTTCACTTGGTCTATTATAATGCCAAATGATCATATTGTTGATTCCACGAAGCATTAAAATATACCTATGGCATGGTAGTTGTGAACTTGAATAATGGGAGTGTGTTTTTTTTAATAAGAATGAAAGTCAGCTGATATGATATGATCCCACTCAGATAAAAACATTAGATGATGAGACATGAATTATTGAGATAAGGGCAGAAGTCAAAATTCAATCAAAATGTGATTCTAGATATGGTGTAATATATTTTCCTAGTGAGATTTGGAACGTTTAAAGAGGTGATAGGGGTGATATATGTGTTCTAACTATTAGGATTAGAGTATTTTGAATTTTTTTTGTTCTTCAAGTAATTTTTTACTTCAACATCGAACTACCCTCAACACGACCATACAAATATTAACCTCAATTATCTATCTCATTTCCCAGACCTGTAGAAGCAATTTTCCCATCATCAACCATATGGTTAAGATTTTTACTCACATGTATTTTAAATATTTCTCAAACTATATACTACTGTTCAAGAATTAACAAATATGATAGAGAAGAAATGAGACCTAGTGAAAGCATTTCGTTAAAACTTATTTAGGGCACCAAGATATTAAATTCAATGACTTACAGTCCAATACACAAATAATCGAGTTTTTCTGTCTCCATACACACTCGGATTTACCTGAAGAACATAGACATTATCATCAATATATTATTGTATGACAAAATATAAGTTCAACAACATCAAAATTAAAAAACAGAGATAATAATATATATATATATATATGTGAAATAATTGAAAGTGATGATTTACTAACAGCCCATCCAGATTCAATGCCTTCATACTTCATGTAAGGGCCATTTTTCAAAGAAACTTGGGAAGTACTGTACTCATCATCAGATTCAACAAAAGGATTCCAAACTTTTATATCTCCTTTAGCCCCTGAATAGCTGAACCCTTCTGCTATCAATATTGCCTCCTGTATATATATATATGACAACAAAAATTATAAATGCCAAGACTCATTTCCAACATTAAAAATATTTCTAATAAAAAAAATTATTTTTTGTAAAAAAAATAAAAAGAAAAAAACTGTTTTTCTATAGTTAGTTGTGACCTAAAAATGATGTGCTAGTGATTTGTGGTAATGATAGTGTTGGTGTGGTGGTAGTGGTGGTGGTGGGTGGCGGCAGTGAGTGTGATAGTGGTGTGATGGTGCTGCTGGCGGCTTTGGCACTCAAACAAATTAAGAACGAAATATTTTGATTGTCAAAAGCGGCATTGTTGTATTTTTAGCGACTAAATTGGACATTGATGAATTACTATCTTTTGGGAAGAAATTTTTTGTTTCAAAGACAAACTTTTTTTTTTTGCATGAAATTGATTTGTATTTATTAGCAATATTTTTAAAATTTTGTCGCTAAAGATCTATTTTTTTATTTTTTTTGCATGAAATTGATTTGTATTTATTAGCAATATTTTTAAAATTTTGTCGCTAAAGATCTATTTTTTTAACTTTTTGGCCAATTTTAATAACAACTCTTATTATGACAATAGAAATTGATTAACAAATTTTTTACTTTTGGAGACAAAAATGTTTGATCTCTAAATTTTTTTTATGTTACAGTGTGGTAAGAGTCTAATTCAGAAAATGTTTTCTATTTTTAAAAAACAAAAAAACGTTTATCGCCCAAGAAAAACACTTTTCGTCGATTTTCATTTTCTATCATATCAAACACTACAAAATTTAAAAAACATTTTCTGTAAAAACAAACGGAGCATGCACGCATGTACCGAGTGGTTTGCTAGTTGAAGGTATGAATCTATGGTGTCATCAATGTGTTGTGAAAATCTGGGCTTCTTCCTGCCATAGTCTTCCACTGAATGTGCTTTAATCAGGTCCTTCTTTCGTGTTCTTCGGATAGGGATTGTGCCCTCTGGACAGCTTCCACTTCTCTGCCATAACTGTGATGTCACCGTCACTGCAGAGTCTCCCTTCTTTTTCTCTATTGATGTTTTCTTTGTCGCAATTGTCCTTTCCATCGTTGGATCGTAACTTGGTGTCATCTGAAATGAAAACAATCTTTAGCTTTTCATGGATTTGCAGTTGAAGTAATCACGAAGTTTAACATGTCATCATGTAGAGAGTAACAAAATATTTGAAAAAAATAAAATAAAAATTGCAGACCTGGATTGTGTGATTCTGTAGGGCAGGATGATCAAAAGCTGGTTGTTTGTATATGTCAATGCAATCGATAATGTCCCCATCTTCACTCTGCCATAAAAAAAAAAACCTGACTTTTTAAAGAAAATAGTTGTTTAAAAAATATTTTCTTATATTTGATTATGATCTTAAAAATAATGCATGGTAGTGGTGGAAAGATGGCGGCAGCAACGGTTGTAGAATGGTGTTAGTGAAATGATGCTGGTAGCACTGTAGTCTCAAAAACACTTCTTGGAAAAAGGGACACCACAAACAAAGGATATTAATGCTTCCAAGGTTCAATCATATTTTTATTGTTGATGAGTAAAATGATTTCCTATTCTCCCTTTGGTGGTAGGCAACTAAAAGAAGAGAGCAAGCTCATGTAGTATATATTTATAGAAAGAAGTCATTTTTGTTTAGGATGCTAAGCGAAGATGTGTAGTTTAGTAGTCTTTTGTTATGAAGAGGACAAGGATGGTTATCAAAAAATGGAAGATATTTTTTACTCAAAAATTTTGTTTTCAATTGATCATAAAAACTGGTTTTTGTTATGTTAAATGCTAAAAATTATATATGAAAAGTACTTTTTGTCCAAACAAACAGAGCAAATTATATCACATATCAAGCATGTAACTGCTAAATTAACTATACTATTATTTGGCTCTCAAATTAATAAGTGTTGGTCTTGCAGTCTTTTTCTTCAAAAAGTCTAGATGTATAGAGAGAATCAAACACAAAATATACAGATACAAGACAATATGTTCACAATTATAGATGCAAACATAATAATAACTACAAATACAAATAATTTTTATCTAGTATTTATGTATTCCATGTCCCATTCTTTCTGTGCATGTAAAACTACTCTTTTCCTCCCCTAAATGGGTAATGCTACATATCATGAAATAAATATCATGAAAAACTTCATGAAACTAATCCAATGGTGAATGCATAACATACAATAAAACACTACAAACACTATAATCTAATCCAAGGGTGGAGAATCTTCATGAAAACTTTTCATGACATTGTTTTCATGATACCTATCATTATTGCCCCTAAATTGACTCAAAAGCACTATTGCATTGACTGCTCTATTCTTCTTTATATCAACACATGGCCAATGATTGGGACTTTGGGATAACAAAAAAACGAGTATATAAAATAAAATAACACATAGAAGAATACCATAGTAGGCCATACCTTAATGCTTTTCACTGCATGTTTATTGAGAAGTTCTAGTTTCCTTTCAACTTCCAATTGCTTCTGTCTAGACATTGATGAGTCAACCTCCACAGCCCCATAAGTGACACAACTAAAAGTTATTACATATAATAATACCAATAATAGAGTAACCCTCAATTGGATTTGGAACCCCATGCAAAATAGTTTTCTAAAATTAGTTCAATTAGAGTTCTTTGTCAAAATCAAAAATAAGTTGCCAATTGCACAAAATGCAGAACTATTTTTTTTTTCTTTGTTGATGAGATGTGTTGGACATTTTAAGTTACAATGCAAGCTAAGAATACACAACATTTGCGTGATTTACCAACTAATCATCCAAATGTCATTTACAAATTTGAATTTAAGCAATGTGAGACGTTGTGGCGAGACTGATGTTACATAAGTATGGATACATTAATACTGTGTTTGGTTGAGGGATTTGAGCAGGGAGTTAGAAAAGGAAATGGCAAAAATAGGTGAAATGTGAATAAAATAAACTTACATTTTACCTAATTTCACACACTTTTTCTTTTTTCCCTTACAAGTTCCTTCCTAAATTTCCCAACCAAACATAGCATAACGAATTTATGCAATTGTTATAACTTGTAGTGATGCCATAGGCTGCATGTGGAATTTGAAAATTACGCTTAAAAAATGAGAAAAAAGATTACACTCAAAGTACATGAAATTAAGATGTTCATATAAATTTTATATGCCTTTCCTATGATTTTAACTCTTGAATTTCTTTTGAAAAAAAAGTGATCTTATATGCAAAAATATGTAAAACATCACTGCTGATTTTCGAGGCAAGCAATTGCTAATTGCTTTAGGCCCCCAAAAATTAGTTAAAAAAAAGGCTCCAAAAAAATATCAATTATTATATTTGTTCATAATAGTCGTGGACACCCGGTTATAATATATATAAATATATGTATATATATTTGCTTATAAAAAAAAAAAAACCCTTCAAAAAGAAACCAAAAAATTGATTGAAGTGATGAATTATTTAAAAATTGATACTAGATGGTGATTTTTCAAATGTATAAATTATGTTACAATTTCTTATAGGGAAATAAGTTTTTCAAAGTTGAAATTAATTAAATCTTACATTCAATTAACTATGTCACACAAATATTGAATGAATTGGTTGATAAGTTCAATTATACAAGCTTGAGTTAATAATGCGAGAATGATGATATTTAAATGATAATTTTTTATTTTTTATTTTATACCCGAGCTTGGATTATTTTGGTCCTTAATCTTAGACTCCATTTGTCTGGACAGAAAATATTTTCTGGTGTTTGGTACAATGAAAAATGAAAGTCAACGAATTTTTTTTTTTCTTCATAATCAACAAAAAACAAGCCTATATAAATAGAAAATATTTTTTACTTTTAAAAAGAAAAAATAATTATGAACTAAAGTCTTATCACCACACCATCATTGTCGCTCTTACCTCCACCACCACATCACCATCACCACGGTCATTACCACCATCATCATCGCTATCACCACTGTTGCTGCCCACCACCATGCCGCCACATCTACATTCATTTTGCCACCATCACTACCAAACATATAAAAATATTTTCTTCATAAAACATTTTTTGAAAATTATTTTTTTGTAGAATCTTGATAAAGTCATTTTTGATAATCGTTCTCATGAAAATAATCGTTTAAATTTAATTACCTGTATTCATATCCAGAAATGACATTCAAAAGTCACCCTTGTTATTAATGATTTTCAAACTGAAATCATTGCATTAATTGATACTGGTGCTGATTTAAACTGTATTCAAGAAAGTTTAATCCCTACTAAATATTTTCGTAAAACTACTAAACAATTAGGCTCTGATACCAAAAGGGGAAACAGCACGTAAAAGAGAAGAAACAGAATAAACAGAGTTAACTAAGTTGGAATCATATGCACACAAAAGGAAGAATAGAATTTAATATGATAAAGTCATTTTTGATAATTGTTCTCATGAAAATAATCGTTTAAATTTAATTACCCGTATTCATATCCAGAAATGGCATTCAAAAGTCACTCTTGTTATTAATGATTTTCAAACTGAAGTCATTGCATTAATTGATACTGGTATTGATTTAAACTGTATTCAAGAAGGTTTAATCCCTACTAAATATTTTCGTAAAACTACTGAACAATTAGGCTCTGATACCAAAAGGGGAAGCAACGCGTAAAAGAGAAGAAACAGAAGAAACATATTTGAATTGGAATAATATGCACAAAAATTACCAAAATATTACAATTTAACAATTAAATAACTTATAATTGTTTACTGGAAGTAACTGCAGAGAGTTGCTTCAAAATACATTTACTAAAAGTTTAATAGCAGTGACAATTAAATAACTTACAATTGTTTACTGGAAGTAACTATAGAGAGTTGCTTCAAAATACATTTACTAAAATTTTAATAGCAGAGAAAGGTGTTGGTTCTCACTCAGAATCCTAACAAACTCAAACTCTGATTTACAATTGAACGAAATGACTAATTTATAACTAATACAATTAACTGTGAGCCTTGTGAGCTGGAACCTGGAAGAGCATGATAGAGCACATGGGTGATGTCTGCTGCTTTTGGCTGATTGACTAAAGTTGATTGAAGCTTTTGACTGTTGTTGAGTAGGTTGATTGATGAATAGTTTGAACAGTAAAGTTGACTTTTTACTATTAATTACTTTCGGTGGCATGTGACTGATGGAAAGCAATATATATACAAAATAGCAGCTTTTCTCAAAAAGTGAGTAGAGAGTGAAGCTATAATGCATATATATCAAATCCAATATTGACTGGTTGATCAGTGTTGACTAGTAGCTATGCATATGGGTCCTGAGCATCATAGAGGTGGGCCGCATATGGACCATAGCGGGTTGACTGAGCAGTTGAATTAGATGAGATGGATGAACTTGACTTTTTGGCCAATGCATGAGGCTCATCATCAGAGGGTTCATCTTTTAATTGGGCTGTAGACCGCCCTGAGAACTCCCAGCTCCGCGCGCGAAGGGGCGCGAATCGTTTTGTTCTTAGGCTACTACAGTTCGGACTCATGTCACGGTTCTGAATCTAATCTCACAAAGTGCAATGTGAAACCGATAAATCACCAAAGAGTCCAACTCCGGCAAATCGTTTTGGAAAACTGATTTTTAGAAAGAAATGTCAAACATGGACTGCTTTGCCAGATACAGAGTCGCTACCTAAATATTTTATTTTGGGGGAATTTAGGAAACCCTGACTCGTGTCTAAGGCAACGTGTCCATCATCACCAAAGTTTCCTCAGCTCGGGAACTTGGGTACAAGAGGGGAAAGTCATGCAATGAGCACCCCCGCTCGCCCGATCACAGATCGGCCTTTACTAACATGATATGTTGTTTTTGAAAACACATGCGTTCTTATTTCGGTTATTAACCTAGAATTACTATGTGATGCGCGCAGCATACAAGTATAGACTATATCGCCTAAGTTGGAACAAAACATTTCATGTTTATTTTTCGAAAATGGTTTGAAGATGCTACTCACAAGTAGGCTAAGACAGAGATTTTGCCACCCTCAAGTGGGCTTAAAACTCGCATTTGATTAATTGTTCCAATTGAGGCAATCCAACCCTCACCCACAGGCATTCATGCAGTTAATCACTTAAGCGGTTAGCCTCATGGCAAGCATGCTAAACATGGCAACACTTACACGCATGCAAGGATGCTAAAGCGTAAACACTCACAGTGTACTCCGAGCCAAAACAGAGAACTAGTTAGAAATCATGTATGATCCTAGTTCATGTAAAGATGGCTAATGCAACACATGCGAAAATGCAACTAAAATAGGCTCGGCTATTCTAAGATGGCATATAAAATGCAACTTGATAACATATATTCAATTTGGAATTGAAATACAATGTAGTTTGTATGATGCGCCGAGCCCGGTGCATACAAAACAGATGAATGATGCACGCATGCAAGCATAAGGTATGCTAATTGAAATATGCCCTAAAACTAACCACTGAAAGCGGATAAGTAAAAAGGAGAAAGAAATGGAGGTTGGAAGACATGCATTGCACACACGCACGCTTATTACAACAATTGTGCCCTCTTGACGGAGGCTCCGAATAAAAAGCTAACTAGCTAATCTAAGCTAATTAAACTAATTATTACATCACAAAACTAATTAACTAACAAGCTAACTAATTAAGTACAAAACGAAGCTAATTAACTAACAAGTTAACTAACTAGTTATTACAACACAAATAAGCAGCTAAACGCATTAACTACTTAAATACAAAACAAAGCATAAGCTAGCTATCAAATCAGCCTAGTAAAGCAGTAAAGAGATGCCCTTAGAGGGAGAAAAGTGCATACATGCCCAGTCGCCTCGTTCGAAAATCCGTCGCGATGCCCCAACTTGCCTCTTTTTGCAATTGTTCTCAGAACCTTGCACCAAGCTCCAGATAGCTTCTAACTCACCTTGGGGACCCTCAGGAGCATGGCCGACCAGTTGTTGATGTTGTAGACCACCAGCCGACCACTTTTCTTTGCTGCAGGCCAGAAAAAGTGGTCGGCCAGCTAGTCTTTCTGGTCAACTGACTAGTTGTTGCTGCACTTCTCCAGTTGGTTGCAACAGAGAGCAAGAAAGGGCATGGCAATGTATTTGCAAGGTATGTGTGCACAACCACCCTCTCTATCATTTCATAAGCTCATGGGAATGCGGTTCTCGACCCTCGGGCCACCAATCGCGCATTTTAATGCATGATGGCCGAGAAGCCAAATTGCACAATTCAATATGAAATGAATGCACACATAAACACATAAAGCCTTGACCTCTATCATGTATGATCAAGAGGGTCGACGATCGAGAATTAAGGCATGTTTCATCACTTCAAGTATGAAATGTCCTTCGTTTCTCGTGTTTGGACTAACACCTAATCCAAACACAATGCAAGCAACAATACGCATAACACAATGCAATTAACCACATGGCATGCACAATGCAAAGAACAACATGGCATACACAATGCAATGTAACATAAGCATGCAAACGATATGGCATACGTAATGCTAAGAACAACATGGCATACTCAATGCAATGTAACATAAGCATGCAAACAAACATGCTAAATGGACTTAAACCGAATATGGACAGACCTCTGCCATGCCCAAAACAGTGGCCATAATGCTAAAACGAAGGCACGAAGAGCAAATACAAGCATGCATGCCAATTGGCTCACCAATTAAGCATAAGAGCACAACTCTCAAGAGTGCTCAAGGAGTGATGAATGTGGAAGTGTAACAACACTATAGGCACTGAAATTAAGCAAGAAATGATGCCAGATCATTCAAACAACATAAGTATAGCATACTAGAGTCCTTAAGGCATAAGGCTAGCAAAGAGGACTATACTAAAGATATGCAATACATGGCACAAATGCATGAACCAGCCACAAACAGAGCTCAAGTAGGTCAAAATAAAGACCAAAACATACTAAGATGGGAGCTCAAAAGTCTAGACATGCAAGCCTACAAGCTAGGCCATAACCTAGGCGACAATATATAACCCTTAAAGGCATTCAAAGCATGAAAGAAGTGGGAATATAGCAATGCTATGAGCTCTGAAATATCATGATAAATGATGCCAAATCATACACATGATGCAAATGAAGCATGCTATGGTGCTCAAAACTCAAAGCTAGCATAGGCACTTGCACTATAGCTATACTAAATATGAAGCATATGGTCAAGGCAATCCAAAACAGTCTTAGAACATGTTAAAATAAGTTTAAAACACGCATGTAAGGAAGCCAAAACAAGCTAGCATAAAGGGCATAAGGCATGGTGCATACAAGGCCAAAAGGAAGGATTACACTACGCCTATCAAGACCAAGCATGAGATGACATAACCAACGAAAATCAGAGTTATATTATGGCAAAATAACCCCAAAAACACATTGAAATGATAGCTCGCAAGCTTAGGCATGAAGACATACGCAATGACTCATGTTTAGGGCATAAATGACCAACCCTTAAAAGCATTGAAAGAGTGACAAATGTGAGTGCATGAACATGAAACATGAACTAAAATCACATAACAAATGATGTCAAATCATGTAAATAGCCCAATCAATGCATGCTAGTGGACTTGATACACAAAGCTAACAAGCTAGAATGCATTATAGCTATACAAAGCATGGCATGCATGACCAAAACAACACAAATCAGAGCTAGAGCATGCTAAAACATGGAGAAAAGCTTCTTAGAGTTAAGCCAAAATCATGCTAGAATGATAATCAAAAGTATGATACACATTAGCCTAGTTTGTGGGATTGCACTACAAGTGCATGGAGCATGCATGGGGCTATCAAACCAAACCTTAACAGAGGTATATCATGGCAAAACAACACCAAGAACATGTTGAGATGGACTTAAAACAAGCTAGAAAGACATGCTACTTCATGAAGCACACAAAGCTAGTTTGTGAGAAATACACTACAAGTGTATAAGGCATACAAGGGATGACAAAACCAAGTCAAAACAGTGGTATGCCATGCTAAAATAAAGCCTAAAATAGGCTGAGAATAAGCCAACACAAGCTTAACAAACATGCTCAAACATGAGGCATACAAAACAAGCAACCAAGATACGAGGAGAGGGGATGACCCTCTCCTATTTGGGACCTCAAAACACCATTTCCACCACTAAAATTCTTCTGGAATTCAGTGGTAGAAAGGTCATATAAAGGCTAAAACAAGAGCCTAAATGGATGGCTCAAAACAAGGCCTAACAAGGCCTAAGTGGGGGTAGACTACCCCCAACACAAAAGAGACCTTAAACAAATATTACAAGCATGCAAAATCAAAACTTTTTGTAGTTTAAAGTTAAGCCTAAAACAACATGCAAGTAGGGCCAAAAGCTTAAGCAAAAATAAGGGTTTAAGAGGTTAGTTTCTCACCCTTGTAGAACAACTCTAGAGCAACAACTCCAGCAACTTTTTCTGACCAAAACCAGTCCAAAAACTTCAAAAACAACTTCAAGGGACATCAGCTCCAAAAGTATGGTGTTTTACTATGTGTTTGTATGTTAAAGTGTGATAAAAAGGCACTTTTGAAGCACAAATGTGAAGTAAAGAGCAAGATAGAGACAAATGTGTATCTATATCTCTCAAGCACAAAATTCTGAACCTGGGGGAGGAGGGGGGAGGTTCTCTTACATAGAGAACCAAAGTGTAATCTTGTTGGACAAGCTTAGGCCTAAAGCCATCCCTCCATACACCTCACTTCTGTGCCTTTCAACTGTAACAGCTGGCTAGAAAATATCTCCAAAAAGGTGATGGAAAGCTGCAGACCACTTGAAGTGGTCGGCCAGCTACTTACACTTGTCGGCCGACCAGTGGAAGTGGTTGGCAAGGGAAGAAAGTGGTCGGCCATGGGGGGGAGATGGTCTGCAACATGAAAACAAGGCAGTGGTGTGGTACTCGACTAGAAAAGGTGGTCCAAAGACCAAGAAAACCAGTTGGCCGACCAGAAAACTGGCTGGCAGGAAGGAAAGTGGTCTCCAAGGAGAAGAACTGGTCTCCCACCCTTATACCACCTTCCAAACAAGGAAAACAAGGTTTGTACCAAAAACAAACCAAAAAGGATGCAAGACGAAAGTCCGGGAGGCAAGGCGGGCAGCCGGGAGCCTCGAAAACTAGTCTACGAGCATCAAAAGTGGTTTATGACCACAAAAAGTGGTCATCCGGACCACAGTGTCCCTCTAGGCAGAGGCAACAAGGCATGGTTCAAAAACCAAGCCAAGCAGAGGACGTTAAGCGGTCCCGAGACAAGGCGCGCGACCGAAGACTCTGAAAATCGAGAACTAGTCTCCAAGCAGGAAAAGTGGTCTACGACCACAAGAAAGTGGTCTACAAGACCTCTCCCTCCCTCCAGGGAAGGGAAACAAGGCTTGGTCCACAAACCGAGCCAAAGCACAAAGAGTTCAGAGGCCCGAAGGCAAAGCACTCAGCCGAAAACTCCGGAAACTCAAAACAAGCACAACATGCACTATCACCGAGCGCTCAATCGATGACATCTGAGTTTTAAGGTCAGTCAAAAATGGGGTGTCTACATCAAGAGATGGGCCATTTGAAGCAGTTGATCACTGGATGATCCAGGTTTGACTTTGGGCTTTGACTGAGCTGACTTGGATTTATCAGATTTGGGCTTTGACTTGCTTGACTGATCCATCTTGGATTTGGATGACTTGGGCTTGGAAGAACTAGATGGTAGATCATTAGGGCTTCCAAGGTTGACTAGAGGAAGTGGGCTTCCTTGAGTGATTGAAACAGTTGGGTTCTGCTGAGCTTTAACCATTGTAGGAGTTGGAGCATGAATGACTATATTTTTATCAATTCCATATCGCCATTTAAATATCCAAGAAACTTTATATTTGGACATAAACATGAGCAACCATAGGAACTGCTACTGATGTTGACTAGGTTTGTAAACAGTAGAAAAATAGTTGACTTGTTCCATTAATTCTGGTGGAAAGATCTCAGGTATTGCACCATGAAGAGGCCGCCATCTAAGGAACCATGTAGGAATGACTGATTTGAATTGATGATCAAACTAGAAGAACCAGGAGTGACTGAAGGACTCATTTTGATACAAGAGAACTTTAAACCAAGCATCCATATAGTCATAATAACTATATTGGATGGAGTGACCAGGTAAATCTCGAAGAAGGTAGGGAGGTCCCCATTCATCGAGAGATACAATATTGTGAATATAAAGTGAATGGTAAACAATTTTACTTGGGCAAACTTTATCACGAATTGGTTTAATAAGAATTGACTAGTGGTGAAACAGGATATCCTTATAAAAGGAAATAGTTTTATCAGGATGGAGTGGCACAAAATGCCATCCAGGAGGAAAGTATTTCTAGGTTAAATTAAGAACATCATGGAAGTTCTTATGAACAGGTTCTTTGAAGAATAGGTTGACTGATTACATTTGAATATAATGGGATTTAGCAGTTTTGACTGGATTGGGTGGATATGGAGTAAGTGTTTGACTAGATAAAGCAAAGGGATCTGAAGCAAGAGCAGAGGTGTAACTAGGTTTAGGAATGTTACCAAGAACTTGGTAATGGTTGACCATTTCAATAGGAGGAACAACAAAAGGTTGAGTATTGGAATGGTAAGGTTGACTAGATGGAACCAGGGCTTTGGAAGGAGGCCTTGGATGAGACATCTGTTTAAATAGAAACAAAGATTAGCATCCACTGAGGAGATCTAAATAAGCTTGATGATAATCCAAACAATTATAATAATCAGCAAGTAAATGGCGATGGGCTTGGATTTGGTGAAATTGAATATATTGAGCACGTTGAGTAGTCTTTTTGGCTAATTTGAGTCGAGCAATTCTATAAGTAGTGTGGTGAATAAGGGTTTGGTAATGAGTAACCTGTGACTTATGGTAAGAGATAAAATGAGTGACCATCCCTATCCCCCCTGTAAAAATTCTCGGGTAAGAAAGTCAGGAATAGAATTTTTACTACCAGGTATATATTCAATATCAAAATCAAAAAATACTTAAAATAGATTGCCATCGGGCAAAAATACGTTTACTAGCAATATTTTGAACATCTTTTTCTAAAATATATTTAGCACTTTTGCAATCAACACGTAATAAAAATGTTTGATTTAAAATATCATCTTAAAATTTACTAATACATAAAACAATAGATAAAAGTTCTTTTTTAATAGTACTATAATTTCGTTACGTTTTATTCCAAACACCAGAATGAAAACAAACAATTTGTTCAGATGACTTGGGGGTAATCTTTTGGAGAAGAATACCACCATAACCAATATCAGAAGCATCAGTTTGAATTATTTTGAATGAATCTTCAGTAGGAATACCAAGACGGGGCAAAGTTTTAACATACTTATTGACTTATTGAACAATAGCAGTATGAGTAGAAGACCAAGGAGGAGGATTATCTTTCAACCAATCAAAAAGTGGTTGACAAGTTTTCCGAAGGTTTTTGTAGAATTCAGCAATGTAATTCAAGGATCCTAAAAACCTTTGTAACTGAGTTTTATCTAGAATTTTATCAGGAAATTTATAAGCAAATTCAATTGAGCGACTAATAGAAGAATAGTACTTTGGTAAATATCGTAACCCAAAAATCTAACTTTAGTTTGGAAAAGTTTAATCTTAGGGGCAGAGATGACTAAACCATTATGTTTAATAATTTGGAAGAAGGCATGGAGATGTTTCCAGTGTTCTTCTAATGACTTGGAAAAGATCAGGATGCCATCAATGTAAACAATGGAGAAATGACTAAAAGGGTTGAATATGTCATTCATGATATTCTAAAATTCACTAGGAGCATTTTTTAATCCAAATGGCATGACGTTCCACTCATAATGATTAAAGGGTGTAGTGAAAGCAGTTTTATACCTATCTTTAAGATGAATTTGGATTTGTCAAAATCCACTTTTTAAATCAAATTTACTAAAAATGACAGCTTGACTAAGTTTTTTAATTAAATCTTTTTTATTAAGGATGGGATACTTGATCCATTCTAAGACTTGGTTTAATGGTTTATAATTAATGACTAGGCGAGGGACACCACGCTCTAATTCAGCATTTTTATTAACATAAAAAACAGGGCAAGACCAAGGTGATTTACTTGGAGAAATAATTTTATTTTTTAATAATTCATTAATTTCTTTTTTACACATTTCAATTAATTCATTATTCATCTGAATAGGGCGTAATTTAGTTGGGATTTGTTTTTCATTAAAATTTTTAATATAAGGTAATGTAACGACATGTTTTTTCCTATGCCAGAAAGCACTAGGTAATGTTGAACAAACATGGGATTCAAGTTTTGGATTAAATTGTTTGATTTTGGATTGTAAACTAGGATTGGTTAATTGAGTTTCAATTCTTTTGTATTTAATTTCTTCTTTATGAAATTTAAGTTGTTTGGTTAATCGATTAATAGATTGGGATATGAAATGTTCTTTTAATTGATTTAATTCTCGAACTTCAGGAGGAGATAAGAATTTAAATGTGACTTTTTGACCAAATGCATGAGTTGTTATTCCATGATTAGTAGTAGTAAATGGATATAATAGAAATATAAAAGGAGTTCCTAAAATAACTTTATCAGTTAAGTTTTTAACTAAAACAAAGGATGTTTTAAAACAAACATTATCCTGACAAATATGAACTTTGGGTAATTTATATTGAATATGCATTTGACTTCCATTAGCAGAGCTTAATTGTTCAGTAGTTTTATGAAAATGTTTAGTAGGGATTAAACCTTCTTGAATACAGTTTAAATCAGCACCGGTATTAATTAATGCAATGACTTTAGTTTGAAAATCATTAATAACAAGAGTGACTTTTGAATGCCATTTCTAGATATGAATACGGGAAATTAAATTTAAACGATTATTTTCATGAGAACGATTATCAAAAATGACTTTATCATGATCAGATTCAGAAGCAATTGCTGATTTAGAAGAGGATTTTTGACTATTTCAAAATTCATCAAGACTTTTATTAATTTAAAGTACGGATATTTCTTCTTCTAAAGATTTATCTTTTTCTTTTAATTCTTTAAGAGTTAATTTAATATTGTTGATTTCAATTTGTAAATCTTGTAAAGTGACTTCTTTATATTTTTTTTTTAAATCTTTCTAAAGTTTTATTAAGACTAATTATAGGTTTATCATGTTTAGGTTTTTGTTCCTTATTAATAAGTAATGATTTTAGTTTATCCATATATTGTTGTTTTAGTTCAGGATTTTCTAATTTAGCAATTAATTCAATAAGAGCAGTTTCTTCTTGTTGTGATTTAATAAGTGCAGTAATTTGTTTATTTGTACAACAAGTATCCTTACATCCTAATTCAATATTATTATCAGAATCATCACTAGGAGTATGGTAATTAGAACTATTATCAACAGGAGTAGATTCATCAGATGATTGATTAGATTGAATAGGAGAATTTTCTAACTTGAATATATCAAATATTTGTTTTTGATTCTCTTCACTAATTTGTAGTTGATTAAGGTTTTCTTTGACTCTACATTTATTTGAGTAATGACCCTTTTTACCACAATTGTAACAGGTAATGTCTTTAGTAGACTTTGATTTAGGATTGAATTTCTTATAATATTTCTTTTTTGGTTTAGTATAAAATTTATCAATTGATTTGGCAGGTGAATACTTCTTTTTATATTTATTTGAATATTTGTAAGAAGATTTATGTTTAGTATGTTTTCTCCGGGAATGTGCAACAGGAGGTAAACCATATTGTTCATAGAAATTACCTAATTCATATTTAGCTTTGTGTTTATCTTTGGCAGCTTTTTAACTTAATTTTAAATCTATACACATTCTTAATCCTTCTTTTTGAATTGCACTTATTATGTCACCATAAGTTAAATTATCATATTCAATAACACCGGTGGGTTGACTAAGGACATCTCTAATCTTATGAGCAAGTAAACTAGGTAATCCATTAATGAATTTTTTTTTCCAAAATGATTTAGTACAATCATCTCTAAGCATGACTCGAGAGGTGAATACATCTTTATACCACCTAAAATCACTAAGAGTGGGACAAGTGAGATTACTAAGCTGATCATGGATTCGTGAATAAATATTAGTCGGTGTACCAATGAAATGTTTGACTATGGTTGTAAAACCCAAGTTATTTATAGAATTATTTTGGATAGATTAATAATTAAAATAAATTGTATGGGTAATTTAGTAATCTTAAGAATTAGGTTTTCAACCCTTTTAAAAAAAGAAAGAAAAAGGGAAAGAAAATGGAGCCTTGTGAAAGTGTTGCTGGGTATTTGGAGGCTGTTGTTGCTCAACGGTTTGAAAAGTAGAAGAAGAAAAAAAAAAGAAAAAAAGAGACAGACCAAAACCAAAAGGAAGAGGGAGGATTCATAAGAGTGGTGGTTTTGCTTTATTCATTACTTAGGTAAGATTTATTTTATTATATTCTTATCTATGATTTTGGTGTTAATATATCAATAGATGATTTTATGAGCATATATGATTAAACAAATATATTGATATAGTCTATGTTGGGGGACTCGATTTTGCTCAATTTTAGAGTGTATTTTGCATCCCCTTTGGGTGGTTCATATTTTGAGATTGATATATCATGGGTTAAGTTTAATGGTGGTGTGTTTGTGGGATACACGATTGACTACAAGCAATTACAAATTTTTACATGTATATAAACAACAATAGAATAATATGGGTTGAGAATTTCTCAAGCCGTGATGGCTTTGTTTTGATGCTAAATCGTGGGAGTTCCTAATAGACTATTGGGT